GATGGGCATGGAGGAGGGCACTTGTTGGGATGAGCACTGGGTGTTATATGGAAACCAACTTGACAATAAACTATTAAAAATAATAAAAAATAAATAAAATTTGACTATGCAAAAAAAGGAACAATTTTTGAATTCTTTGTTTCACTTCATATTGCTGTTCATTTCCTAGGACTCTGTGAAATATAGTTAAAGAAATAATATGAACTCAGTTCTTATCTCAAAAATGGATAGGTGAGGTCTGGGCCGAGAACCTCTCATTATTAGTTAGCACAAGCAGCAGGTGTTCTGAGAGGAATCTCCATTCTCCATGCCTGAAAAAACAGACGTAAGAAATCTTAGGAAATACAATAGTCTGAAGTTACTCTAATGTTCAAAATGACATACTCTGTTCTGGGTGGCTCAGTCATTTAAGTGTTCAGCCCTTGGTTCTGGCTCAGGTCATGATCTCATGGTTCATGAGTTCAAGCCCTGTGTCTGGCTCTGCACTGACAGCACTGAGTCTGCTTGGGATCTCTCCCTCTCTCTCTGCCCCTCCCCAGCTCTAATAAATAAACTTTAAACAATTTTTTAAAAAGGAAATTTTTAAAATTTCATGTTCTTATATGTTCTTTTGTACTTGTTACATTGGTGCAATGAATTGCCTGTCTCTCTCACTTTCCCTCTCACAGTACCTGGGGCTTGTTGGTGATTACTTACTGTTGAATGAATGAAAGAATGAAATGCTAGTATATCCTAGTTTGTTTTCTCATCTCATAAAATAAGTTGAGAAAAATGTGCTGACATATTTGAGAATTTGTAGAGAAAATTGGATCTTTGCCAAATATTTTATAAATGGAAATGGTATCTAAAAGATTAATGTCAATAATTCTGGTAGGAAAATAAATGGCTGCAAATATATTGCAGGCTGCTATTCCTTTTTATACTTTATATGAGCTATGTGGTAGCATCTTAAATTATAGATGGCAAGTCAGTCATTTAATGTAAATATTTATTTTAAACTCATTTAATAGTTTTTGAACTAGAATAAGATACCAAATTATACTAATTATCTTTGGGATTTAAAAACTAACAGAAAAAGAAACTAGTATGTGCTAGTAATAAATATATCTTATAATTCACTTATTTAATGTATAATAAGCTGCATTATATTCTAACAATTGCATATATGACAGTATCATGATCTTGATGTCTGGATTGGCCAGTATGGTCCCTGAAGTCCTCAGGTTCTCGATGGGAAAGAACCATTATCAAATGTATGCATCTAAGCTCAGTTTAGCGTAAGGAGTTTCACTGAGTTTTGTGCCCAGCACTGTTGTGTTTGTGCAGTGAATCCCACTTGTTGGAGGCGTGTGTGCCCCTGAGCGCCCTGGGACAAAAGAAGGAGCAGCAGATCCAGCTACTAGCCTTGTGCTTGGACTCTGCTCTTGGGCAGAGCAGGGAGGAGGCGGAAGAGAAAGCGGTACCCGCCCATTTTGCTCCTTTCGGGGGAAGGTGATGATAATCAACTTTGTCATTTTGTGTTGAGTCATTTTCTCAAGTGCAGATGTTCTGTCCTGGCTGTGGACGGACTAGGGCTGCCATAAGGAAGCATCACAAACTTGGTTGCTTAGAAAATGCAGTTTATTCTATCACAGTTCTGGGAGCTATGAGTCTAAAATCAAGGTGTTGGGGGACAAAATTCTTTTCTCTGCAGGCTCTCTGGTGGCTGTCGGCTGTGGGTGGCATGTAGATGCATCATTCCAATCTCTGTCTTTACCTTCACGGGACCTTCCCACCAAGTGCGTGCATGGCTCCTCTCCTTCCAAGGTCTTCCCTGCTCCAGTGTAACTTCATTTTAACTAACACATCTCCAAAGACTCTAGTTTCAAACAGGGTACATTCTTAGGCACCTAGGATGAGCCTTCAACATCTTCTTGGAGGGATACAATTCCACCCACTACCTGGATCAATGAGACTTTTTTCCAAGACTGGAAATAGCTCCACATTTTCAGCAAAGGCAAGACGGTCTGTTTATGATGCTCAAGGTCTCTGTGTCTCACCAAACTCCAATGCTAATTGTGTATAGCAGATGCACTAAGACACGCTTAAGGAGACTTAGGTATATACGTGCATTTTAGAAGTCAGATAAGCGACATAATAGTGAATATTGAGGTGACCAGGAAGGCTTTATCTCCTCTCTTGAGATGGAATATATAAGAACTAAATCAGCCGTGTAGACAGTGGACGACATGGAAGACAGGCTGAATGAGGACAGTGATAGCAGACATTACTTATTGCTGAGAAAAGTATAGATAGGACAAAGTAAAATGGATATGCAAACTGACTTTCCTTCCATTTGCAGGAAATGGATGCAGACACGTTTGACTTTGCTTCAGCTTTATCTGCAGTTAAGCCATCTATTACTTCTTTCAACCCTAATAATCCTGTAAGCACTCAGATCAAACGCATAATATCTTGGTCCACTGAAGAAAAAGAAGAAGTCTGTACAAAAACAAAAACAAAACAAAAAACAACATCAAATGTTGAGTTAGCATGTAGAAGATCTCAGATATTTTCAACTAAAAAGACCCATTCCTGTTCCAATATAGAACAGTGAAACGTAAATGTACTATTTTACAATTTTAAACAAATTTGTTATGAGGGTTTTTTCCTACTTACGATTCTTCTGGAAAACTGCATCGACTCTACTTTCTATTCCTGGAAAGACATCCGCTGTGTTTTTGGGATAACCTTTTTGCATGGACTGTCTTTTGTTATCGTATCTGATGAAAAAAAAATGTCCCATGTTTCAAAATCAATATAGCATACAATGATAACGGTCTTTTTTAAAGTGCAGATGCTTTACAAAGTGCCTTCACACAAATTTTCTCATTCAGTCTATGTTATGTCTTATTTCCTGGGCCTAAGAATGGTTAACTTTTCTACCTAAGGGCACATTACTGTTTATAAAATATGTGGGTTGCATTAATGCTAAAACAGGCTTTTGATTCCCAGCACAATGTTATTTTTTTTTCCTTTTTTTAAAATGCTTATTTATTTTTGAGAGAGAGAGAGAGAGAGAGAGAGAGAGAGAACCCGAAGCAGGCTCCAGGCTCTGAGCTGTCAGCACAGAGCCCGACACGGGGCTCGAACTCACTCACAAACTGTGAGATCACGACCTGAGCTGAAGTCAGATGCTTAACTAACTGAGCCACCAAGGTGCCCCTTCACACACTTTTATTTTCAAAAAGAAGAGCTTGTATTTTCTACAGATGTACTTAACTGGTGCATTAACCAGCCCTCCTCCCTTCCTTCCTCTGCTTGCCCCTCCCCCCTCCCCCAATAGTGAAGCAGTAAGTCAACAAGGGCACATTTTTCAGGCCATCCAAAGAGCATTTTCCTGAGTGTGTTATAATTTAACTCATAACTGAGAACTAGCCTCTTTCTTTGCATCCCATCCTGGAACCATATTAAGGTTTCCTCTGTTTCCTGACATAGAATCCTCAATACCATCATGAAGCCTTTTTGATTTTATAAAAATGACATTTTCGAAAGCCACGGCAACCTTGATCATTTTGTGGAGAAACAACGCCTATGAAAGATCACCTAGATTTTTTCTTTAAACCTTCAGAGGCCTGGTTGTTAGCGGCTGTAGGGCAAGGTAAACACAGATTTCAATCCCTAACTGAAACAGCGTTTACCTCACCTCCAGAATTGGTCATTGACGAAGAAGTAGGTCTCTTCCCTGTAGTAAACAGCTGCATCGATTGCACGGATGCTGCTGGGGAAGCCATAGTTTGAGATGTCCTTCGGATAACCGGGCTCAATGTCATAGCCACTCAGAGCCCAGTACTGGCTGCCTGCCAATGATTCAGGTTATAGGTTAGATAGGGTTCTCCCATTCCTATAAAATTGAGGTCACTTCTTAGTCTTCATGTAAAATCAGCATAGAAACAGCAATGGGATGATTGCCTTTAGCAGACACAGGAGGCCAGGTAAGCTCGCTGGGCTGTAATGGCCTTAGTGGCTCCCCAGCACCTCCAGAGACCGCAGCATCTCAGCCTGGCGCTCAGGCCGTAACAGCCAGGTTTCTCCTACGTCCTGACACGTCTATGCAGGGACCGCATGACAGCGGTGGGGACTCCGAGAAGATTACACCGGGCATGGGGCTGGGAGAACGCTCCGGGGCCCTAGGAAGGTTTCCTCGGTTCGTAGACGGGGAAGCTGAGGCCTGAGGAGGAGCGGCCGCCCCAGGGCACGCAGCAGCTGGCGGCAGGACCCGGGCCCAGCCCGGGTCTCCGCGCACGTGCGGCCCGCGTAGCCTGCTGTCACCCGCTCAGCTCCGCTGCGGCCGCCGAGAAGCCGTGCCCTCCCCGCAGGGACGACCTAAGACGAAAGCCGTGGCTGTTACCTTTAAACAGGAAAACCAGGTCCTTGTCTGGGTCCTCGTACGCGGCCTGGATGCCGTCCGGCAGAGCCGGCCAGAACAGAGAGATGAAGTTGAGCCCCACCTCCGGCATCTGGGGGTGAATTCTCCAGAAGTACCTGGCGGAGCACGGCGGGGGCGCCTGAGCAGGCATCCCGGGCGCGTGGGAGGGGTCCCGGGCGCGTGGGAGGGTCCCAGCGCAGTGACCACCTTTACAGGGATGGCGTTCGTGTGGTGGGCGCTTCAGTGTTTAGGGGAGGTCACAGGCGCGACCTTGTCCGATTACATTTTGTCCCGTCCCCTGCTCACACCCTGATCTCACTGTAGTCCCTACAACGTGACTGAGGTATGCTCAGCCTCTGGTGGTACAATCACGAAGCAGCCAACGGAAAACTGAATAATTCAACCAGGGAGATGATTTGCCCTCCAGCTTCTGAAGGGATAGTTCCCATTTACTGGACTGAATTTGGGTGGATGGGACTGGGTGAGGTTTCGTGTCTGGTAAACTCACAGGTGGAGCCCGCATCTGTGACACTGCCACCAACACCTGAATGTGTATGCATGTTTGAGGTCGTTTCCTTCCTTCCTTCCTTCCTTCCTTCCTTCCTTCCTTCCTTCCTTCCTTCCTTCCTTCCTTCCTTCCTTTTTCCTGGATTTTTCAAGTTACCCAGAAAACATGGTCCCTTCCAGTGAGGTGCACGTGCACAGATTTCAAAGGAAAAGCTGAGTGACATGTGATGTGGGACTCAATTAGAATCCAGTTCTAAGTTATGCCAGTCAAAGGAAGAAGTAGTTCAACATACTTGTCTTTAAAGAATAAGGTTTCTCCACGGAGGGTGGTGATGGCATCAAACGACAGATTGGGGTCACAGGCTGTGGGTGTGGTTGGTCCCGTCGGTTGGACAGGGTTGCTTGAAGGTCCTTAACAAAAACAAACAAACAAACAAACAACAAAAAAACAAAAGAAAAAAAAGAAGAAGCTTTTTTAAGCCCAAGTCCAGTGTGACTCTTGGAGAAGCCCTGACCCTCCTCAGAAAGGGAAGTGTTTCTGCATGGAGAGAAACGCTGCCACACTCTCTCTCAAGGCATTGAAGGAAATGTGCATTTGGCCCTCTTAAACTTATTATCATTATTTCAATTAACCATGGTGATTTTCAGAGAGAGAGTTCCCTGTCAATACGTGAAGTAAAGCAATTTGAATTCTTTGCCTCCTCCCACCCCCAGCCCTCTACTTTAAAATCTGAATCCCATCCTTCTCCCCCTCCTTGGTTCTTTCTTCATTTTTGTCACTCACTATCCATTTCTTGCTTCCCCGCCAAATCCACCTTTAGGAAAGGAACTGGTATTGGTCCTTGAACCTGTAGCATAAACCTAAGTCATCTCCTAGCTGTATTTTTTTCCTACGAGTATTTGTGTTTTCATGTGTTTTTTCACTGTAGAATAAAGAGCTATCCTGGTAGTTAAGAAAATTGAAAACACTGATGGGAAAAGGAAGGAGGTGTTTTGGGGGGAAAGGAGTTGGGGAGGTTAGAGCAGGTCTCGTCATTCTGGAAAATTCTATCGTAATGAGAAGGTTCCCGAACTGTGGTCCCTGGTGTGCCTGGCTCTGTGATGTTGTCCCCAACTCTGCTCCACACTGGTTTACAGACCTTCTGACCTTCTCAAAGGTTTCTCGTTCTTACAGCTTCTAGAGCCCATAAGGGCAGAGAGAGGAGATGTACAAGGTCTCGACTTGTTTAAGTCCCTCTCTAAGGAGCATCAGCAACGTCCTTAAAAGATGTTTCTTTCTCTGCATCCTCCACTGCAATTCCCACTCTGTTCTCCACAGACAATGTGTTTATTATGTGCAGGATGTATCTGCTTGCTGGCATGTTTTTTGAAATGCCTTCTTTGCCTATATGCACTTTAATATGTGTGGAATCATATACTGTGCAATCTAAACACTGTGTAATTTGCATCATTCTGTTTCTTTTCCACGAAGCACAAAGTTTTAAAGACCCATCTCTGTTGTTGCCACATGCACATCTAATTCAATGGTGTCCCTGCCTAGCATTACTCTATGGTGTGTATCCACCAAATTTGACAGGTACCTTCCTCCAGAAGACCCCCAGCAGCCCTCCAACTCCCACCACCACAGACAAGACCGGGAAGAACATCCTTGACGTGCCTACGCCTCACCATGTACCATAGGGTTCTTCCAATGACCTTACCATAGATGGCCTGAATGCCATTGATGTCATCTTGGGGGAGGGTGTAGTTACTGGGTTCACGGAAAGCATAGGTGGGATACATCAAGGCACCTGGGTCGGTGGAGTGAGACAGCCCCAAGGAATGGCCAAATTCATGGGCAGCAACGAGAAACAAATTATAATCTGCAATGCAAGCACATGTGGGGAATGGCTCCAAGTGGATCCAAGGGTGGAGAAAATATGATCTCAAGGAATGCAGCTTCCAAGCCAAAAGTGCCTGGAGAAACCGCTCTTCCCATGCCTGTCTTTTGCATTTTCCCTGCAGGCTCCTGAAGAAATGGAGGCTGGAATCAATCAAGGTAGGAGTGAGAGGTTCAGACTAAGTGAGTGTCTCATCAAATCTTAGAACCAAGAAAAGCTGCCTTCGTTCTGATGCTGGTATTCCACGAGTGTGGACCTGAGGCTGAGAGACATGATGGCAGGGCCATCACGTTCTCCTGACACTCAGCAGGCCTCTTCAGCCTCCAGTCTCATGAACAGGTAGTTAGAAAAGATGCCTCTGGGCAGCGAGTAGCTTCAGATGCAGGTGGACCCGCTTTGCCTCCCTAATCACCCATCACCGGGCACCAGCTCTTTGCTGATTCTCAATTCTCCAAGCAGCTTCAAGGATTCTCCATCAGAAAGACACAAACCCTGCTCCTCCCCCATCTCCAACCTCCAGGAGCACACTGCTTTTCCCAGCTGGGATCCCAAACTTCCAAGGCTCATACTCCTAGCAAATAGCACCCGAGCTTCCTGGCCAAGTCTAAGACCTCCTCACTCGTCCAGCAGACATGTGAGGACTTGACTCGTGATGTGAATCCTTCACTCTGGCCATCTCACAGACATGCTGAGCATTTTGTTACACACCTATCTCTTAAAAAATAGTAATTATGGTTGTAGAGTACTCCCTATGCTAGAAAGTATACTACTATTTAGTCCTTGCAATATTTGTATGAAGTATCATCAGAACTATTTTTACAGTAAAGGAACTGAATCCCACAGATTTCAGTTCTCTCCTTATGGGTCTTGCAATAATAAGTGGGAGAGCTGCGGTCAAATCCAGGCATAAGGGCAAGACCCATGCTCTGACTACGATGTTCAGCTTCCTGTTGATAATTAGCCTAGTGCAATTCTGCCCATGCTCCAAGGCATTTTTGTCTTGACCATCACATCCTTGTATTTTTGCATTCATGAATGCATCTCAAAAACAGCTCTGAGTGACGGGACCTGAGTGCCAAACGAATCTGAGGGACCTGTCATGGTGCACGGACTAGAAGGAGAGAGGAATGCCAACAACTTGGATGGCACTGAGCAATGAGGAGAGCAGCTAGAGAAGGAGACACAAGACTGTCAGGATTCTGAGGGGAAAGTCCTCGTTTCCAGCTGCAAGACAAGACGGGGGTGGTATGTGACACAGCATAGAAAGAGATTTTGAAAGGGGCCCTTGGGGTGCAATGTGAGGAAATGTAGGGAGGTTGGGAAGCATGTGGTGTGATGTGGGAACAGCGAATGCACAATGTGGCTGCGGCATGTGAAACAGGAAGACAGCCATGAGAGATGAGGTTGCAAAACTACCAAGAGCCTTCAGTGCCAAGGAAAGGTATTTGGAGATAATTTGGTCTAGAAAACATAAACACTAGAAGTTTAAGCAGGAGATTAATGTAGTCCAAGATGGGCTTTCCAAATATAATTTTTGTTGCCATGCTAGGAAGAATTAGAGGGAGCAGAGACTGGAGGTAAACCGTCCAGGTGGGAATCTGTATCATTTAGTTCAGGTAAGAGGTAATGACCATGTGGACCAGGGGGGAGGGCAATAGGAATTCTTAGTAGTGGAGATTGTTGTCTGTCTTAGGGGACACACACCTCCTAGCACAGGGACTTGGGTAGAATAAACATTCACATGTATGTGGAGAAAATGGTGGGAGGAACAAGTCCCAAGCAAGGATAAAAGGTTCCTTTCCTATTTTCTAGGAAGTGTTCTGTAGCGTATTGTTACCCGTGGCCTCGTGAAGTACCACACGATCTGAATATACCTGTGCTTATCTTCAATCCTTCCCCTTCAGGTGATCTGACTTTGCTTATTATGAGTCTTCTCCTGAAAGGGATGGTTTGTCACACAGGAACACACCACTGAAAAAGAGCTCCGCCAACATGAAATAATTCAACAAGAAAGATGGCGGCTCTTTTCTAAGTGGGATAGTTTTCTACAACGAGAGTTGAGTTTCCTAAAGGAACCCAATTATTTCTGGATTTCCAAAAATAAAGGCCTTTTCCAAACATCATTACATTTCAGAATATTAAAAGAAAGATAAAGGGGCGCCTGGGTGGCTCAGTTGGTTGGGTATCCAACTTGGGCTCAGGTCATGATCTTGCGGATTCGTGGGTTCAGGCCCTGCGTTGGGCTCTGTGCTGACAGCTAGCTCACAGCCTGGAGCCTGCTTCAAACTCTGTATCTCCCTCTCTCTCTGACCCCCGCCCTGCTCACACTGTGTGTCTCTCTCTCTCTCAGAAATAAAGAAAACATTTTAAAAAATTAAAAAAAAAAAAAAAGAAAGATACAGGCTAAACTAGCGGTCAGCAAACTTTTTCTGTAAAGGTTTAGTTAGTAAATATTTTAGGCTTCGTGAACCACATGGCTTCCGTAGGATGTACTCAACTCTGCTGTTGTACCATGAAAACAGCCATAGATGATACATAAACAAAGGGACCCTATTTCAGTAAAACTTTATTTATACAAACAGGACCAGGAAGGATTTACCCATCATGCATAGCCTTTTGATTTCTATCCTAGGAAACAAGGTCAGTAATTAGCCTTAGGGCTTTTTAAAAACCTGAATGGACTTAATATTATGAGGTAGGAAAATTTTAAAATGGTCCGTTTGTGTGGTTTGAAATGTTACAACAGCTTGGATGTATGTGTATGTATGTAGGTGGTGCTGCTAATGTGACAAAGTTTATTCAGAAGCTGCATGTTGACATGACCTTGGTTAACTTACTGTTGGAATCTGTGGTCCATGTTTCTTCTTCGTCGAAGTGAGCATCTCCCCCAATGCCTTGGCCTGGCTGAAAGGCATGAGCAAGGATTCCATTGGGTCCATCAAATGGAGAATTGTCACCATGATCTGAAATAAAACTGTCTGTATCAGGTCCTTCCTGAGTCTCCGGTTAGCCCGGGAAAGTAAAATTGAGCTCGAGGGCAGAGGGCCTACCTCTTTGGACAAAAGCGATTTTGATATCTGCCTCTCCCTGTGAGATTTGGGTGAAGGTCAAGCGTGATGGTTTCGTCCAGAGTTCAAAGGCTTCCTTAATGGCGTATTCCACCTCAGTCTCTGGCAGCTTCGTGGTGTACTTCGTGATCCTTTGAAATGAGAACATGGCATGTCACCAGACAGAGCTCATCCACCTGGGAGCGAGTGGTGTATGTGACACACTGCCCTGGACAGGGTCTAAGGAAGGGGTGCAGGGCTCAGGGCTATAGACAAGTCCCCCCATATCTTTAAACTCAATTTCTTTATTCTTAAGAAGAGAATCGTAACATAGCTCCCTCTCATAGGGCTGTTGTGGGACTAAATACACATAGAACCTTCTGCTCAATACTCAGCAGATCATGGTATTCCAGAGATCGTTCTCATCGGGATGCATGGAGGGTAATGAGTAAGCCTTTGTCAGGACCTGAGTGGGGTTCACACAGGGACAGCCTGACGTTGCCATCGTCCCTTAGGCCGCTGGAGGAGGAGCACAAAAATATCAGGCTTTGGGGTGAGGACAGCCTGTGGGGTCTTTGCTCTTTCCCTCCTGGCCTCACTCACTAGACCCTGATCTCCCCAGGGTGAGGACACAGTGTCCTGTGTGCCCTGCATTCTACAACAGTGCCTGGCACACCACATGCTCATGAACACCCTTAATGAACTCTGAAGCTCAGAATCTCACCTGTAGGTCAGGTTAGTTCGTTCCCACTTGGGGTTCCCCGGGGTTACCATAAAGTCCCCGTTGTCAGGCACCCCGCAGCGAGGCTTCCTCATCATCTCCAGGGTCTTCTCATCTGGTTTTCCCGTCTCATTCAACCCAAAGAATCGCTGCATCTCTTTGAGCTTCTCAACAATCACACTGGTGGTGTTCCTCCTTTCGGACCGATATTCACTCCGTGGTAGCTGGTAGAACATTTCCAGGTAAGCCTGGGCGAAGAGAGACAAGTAAGGGGACTCGCCGTGTCACTTCCATCAGGTCCCTGTGCCTTATGGCTTCCTCCTAAGTCACCCTCAACAGTCTAAGAAACTGGTCATCATGGGAACAAACACAGACTTGTAAGTCGGCTTTGAGAGAATGCAGTCTGTTGGTCAGCACGGCCCCTACATTCGGCGCTCCAGGTAATGTTTATACATAAAAAAAATAGCTATTTCATAAGGGATGAGGTCCAAGTCCTCATGCAAAATCTCATACGTAGTCAGGAGACTGTATAAGTAGTGCTGGCATTTACTGATTTAATTTTTTTTAAGTTTATTTATTTTGACTGAAGGAGGGAGGGGGAGAGATAGCGGGAGAGAGAACCCTAAGCAGACACTGCTGACACTGTCAGCTCTGACTGTCAGATGTGGGGCTCCAACTAATGAACCGTGAGATCATGACCTAAGCTGAAATCAGGAGTCTGACCCTTAGCCAACTGAGCCACACAGGTAGGTGCCCCTAACATTTATTGATTTCTTGAGGTATTAATTGCATCAGTGCAGATTCTCTTTTATATGTCTTTTTGCTCCTCTAGAGAAATTTTAGTCCCTGTCACTAAGAAATGGAGGTGCATGGATGGAGGGAAATTGTCAAGATGACAATTCAGGTCCCAGACTTTCCTGATGCTTCTCAAGGGAGAAGTGACAGCTTTGCAAGAACTCCAGGTAGGTTTGGGACAATGGCACAGTCACCGACATTAGCCTTTTATCCACCACGGCATTTCTGGAAGCGGCCAGCTCTGCATAGCAAGTAAAGGTTCTGAGGGTGGGAAGCAGACTCTGAGTCTTCCTCCTCTGACCTGCAGCAGCCAGAGCACCTTGGCCAGTGACACACAACAGCGCTTGCGGGTTCAGATCGGCCTGGGTTCAAATGTTAGCTCCGCCCTAGATTAACTGAGCTTTTGGACACATCACAGAACTGATTTAAGATTTACTTCAGTCTTCAAAGTGGGAATAATAATCCCCCCGCGCAGGGCTGCAGCGAGGTTGACGGGAGACGGTGTTCGGAAACACTTAGCGGGGTGTCTTGTACAGAGTAAGTCCTCGTGAGCTCTAGCTATTAGCCTGGGGCTTACTACTCCCAGTGCAGGGTGTATTCAAGAGGAAAGGAAACAGAAAACGCAAAAAGAAGAATGCTTTTCTAAAACTGCAGTGCTAAGAAAATTGTGCGCGACAAATCCGTGACAGCATGCCCAGTGTTTCTTCAAAACACGGCCTGACTCTTGTACTGTGGAACAATGGAAATAGCTATGGGTTTTGCTTTGATGGTGCGTCCAATAGTTTATAAACAGCCTTACAGTCCGGAGAGGAAATCTCACTGCACTACACAATGATTTCTACTTCCTTCTGATTTCCTGCCCTCATGCTCTCTGGTCCGCCTGAGATTTCTGGCTTCAAAGACAAGTCCGTACAGACAACACCAGACATAGAGTACGCGCGCGAGAAAGAAAATCATTTAGTTTTGTAATTAAAACCATTCCTTAGCAACGGGCTCCCCAGCCAGAGGAGGCCCAACAGCGATATCTTCTCTGGGTTCCACGAGCCCCACTTGGATCCCTTCAAATGCCCAAAACGAGATGTTCAAGCCCAGACAAAGCATCCACACAATTCTGTTCAGGCTGATTTAACTGAAAAAGAAGGAACAACCCACACAATTTCCTAATAAGCGGTATCAACCACCCACCTGCCGGATGATCAATGTACCTGAACAATTTGCGTGGGCTCCTCTTCCGGGGATCCCCGATGCACCGGAAAGGCCCCGGAAAGCTGCAGGAAGAGTAAGAGCAGAAGCGGAAGCATCTTCAGACTGAACTTGGCCTTTCCCGCAAACACCGCCATCCTGGGCCTGCTCTGTGCCCTCGGGGCAGGGCCCTCCCTCCTGGGTACCCTCCAGTTCAGCAAGTCAGATGTCCCTCACTGCTCTCTTCTGGTCCCTTATAAAAGCTGCGTCTTAAACAATTGCCACACCAGGAATGTGAAGCAACACGGGTGAATTACCTCGGAGACTTTTGCAACGCTCTGATGTGATTTAGGGCTCCAAAACAGGGCGGGGGTGTCTTTCCACAGAAAAGAAAGTACAATTTGTTATTTTTTGCTCTTAGGGTATTTAGTCTGAGATTTACTCTTGCCAAGTTGTCCGGTCTAGAAGAAAGAAAGGAAGATTTGTCCTGAAGTTCATGAACAGCAGTTACCTGTGGGTTTACACTTTCTAGGTATGGAAGGTGTTAATTTATGCAGGAGGTATTGTTAGATTAACGGTACTTATCTTGGGGGCAAAGAGCCCAGCAGAGATCTCTGGGTGTGAGGAGAGCGTGCCTGGGCGTCTGGTCAGCAAGCCGGGTCCATGTGGGGTCCTGGGGCAGCTTCGGGGAGATGGGGTGTGGGCTCCCGTGTAGTAGGGACCCCCCAGGCTGCACGCTGAATTCTCTGTGGAAGGAAGAAAGTGGTAGTGATGGGGATAATGGTAAACAGTGTGCTCTGTGTCCACGGTGTCCCACACGTACGTGCCGCACGTCTGCTGGCCCACGAGGAGCACCGGCTTCAGGATGCGACAACCCAGGGCCCGGGCTTCGGCTCATGGAGGACAAGATGGTGTCTATGTGTCCCCGGGGGGGGGGGGAAGAGGTGTGGGGAGAAGGTTTCCAGACCCTGTGGCGGCAAATGGCTGTGCTGGTTAGGGGCCCCTGGCAGGTATTAAATCATGTCACCCGCTCCCACTTAGTCTGACATGCAGGTAGATCACATCACTATACAGTCTGTGTTCATTTACATATGTTTACATGTCTCCTGCAAGGACAGGTGTGTGGTGTACTAATGTGTTTACCGACTTGATCGACATTTATGAGACAGAGCAGGCGTGGCTATGGAAATAAGGTCTTTGTGGGAGATGCTATATAGTAACTAGTTCAGGTCCCTCCTGAAGTTTCTCACGAGCTTTGTGAAAATCTAAAGAAATGTGTCTCAGGTTACAGCATAACTGAGCAGTGTATTACGGTTCCTGGTGTAGATCCCTGCATTTGCCCAGACGTTGCCTGCGGCCTACCATATGCCAGGTGCTGTGATGGGTGCTAGATTATGGTAGGGAGTTCATAGCGGTTTGGAGGAAATGCTATGGGGGCCTGGAGGAAAAAGCAATGGGTGGGGGGAAGGTGGAATCGAGGAGGGCTTCATGGACCAGGTAGAGTTTGAGTTGGACCTTGAAGGGGAAATAGAATGTGGTCATGCAGAGATGTGGTAACCCCTGCCCCGTGTGCACATCGGATCTCCTCGGGTTGTTCACTCCGTTCTAAGGTCATGATCATGTCAAGCACCCCTGAGTGCACAACTTCATCAGGATGTGGCTTCCTCCACTCTAGATCTTTAGTGACAAAACCTTTTCTAAGATTGCCTTAACACTGCTCTACCCTGTGTTGAGATATCTTGATGCGTTGGGCTTGTTTTCAAAGTTCATAAAGGTACTTTCTTCTGAACATACCGTTAAGTGATTTAGACAAGAAGCCAAAACTTGTGTTTGTATAAATGTTATGAATTCTCCAGAAAAATAAAAATAGAAGTACCTTATGTTCTAGTAACCCATTTCTGGGTGCTTACCCAAGGAAAAGGACAACCCTGCCACTGTGACAATACGGATGGCCTGAGAGTGTATTATGCTGAGTGAAATAAGTCAGACAGAGAAAGACAAATACTATATGATTTCACTTATACTTGGAATAAAAAAACCAAATGAGGGGCGCCTGGCTGGCTCAGTCAGTGCGGCATGTGACTCTGGATCTTGGGGTTGTGCATTCGACCCCCATGTTGGGTGTGAAGATTACCTAAAGATCTTTTTAAAAAAAAACCCTAATGAACAAACAAACAACAAAAAGGAAACAGACTGAAACATGGAGGACGAGGGGTTGCCGGGGGGGGGGGGGGGGGGGGGGGGGGGGGGGGGGGGGGGGGGGGGACAGAAGAAGTGGGTGAAGAGGATAAGAAATAGGAACTTTTGGTTATCTAATAGGTGGTTCGCGGAGATGGGAAGTACAGCCTGGGGAATATGGTCAGTGATACCATAATAAGCTTGTGCGGGACGGATGGCAGCAAGGCCCACCGCGGTGAGCACGTGGTTATGTGGAGACCTGACGCATCACGATGCTGTGCACCAGACGCTCCTATTGAAAACTGGAGCCGTGACGAGAGGTGGAGAAGGCGACGTAGATTTTCTGGGCCTCCATTTCTGAGTCCTTCCTTCACACCTGACCACCGCCTGCCTGCCTGCTGTCCGTGCATCACCCCTTCTGACACCTGGAGCCCAGACTGCTTTCAAGCCCTGTCTCCCCTCAGTAAATGTACTACGTGGAAAGGGTTGACTATCAGTCATTTATACTCTAGTGTGAACTCAGGGGCTGTTTGCCTTTTAAGTCAACCTACTTGAAAAAAAAAAGCAAAAATTTGTTAAAAATGAAGGCTTTGTTCCATAGAATAGGAGTTTCAGATTGAGTAAGAAGATGGAGGAAATTAAGTTTGGGACAGAGATGACTGTCTTTGGATTCAAAGCAACGGTGGATCTCCCTATTTCTCCCTCTGGCAGCAACCCCGTCTGATTATCTGATTTGCTGTCCCACAACAGAGACAGCAAGTTGTACTGTTATAGCTCAGTTTTTCATCTTAGGCCCAAAGAATTGAAACTGTAAGACTTAATCTGTTTTCTCTTTGATTAAAAAAAAAAAAGGTCCAGCCAGCTGGGATGGGCGTAGGTGGCAGGGAAAGCTGGCCGTGAGGATGTGTGCCTGAATTTCGAGGGGGAGGCGAGTTTGGTAATGGAGAGTGTGATCTGATGCAGGAAGCAGGTGCACCAAGCCCAGAAGTGTACCCATGGAGCACACGGCTAATCTGATTCATAGAGGCAAAGGAACACGTCTTGTGCATCACGCCTTTTAACTCTGCCGATAGGGATGGAGGTCTACACATATGATCAAGTGAGCAGGGTGATTGCTGGGGTCAGATGTGAAGCGTGAAGAACACTGCACTTGACCTTATGCTAACTGGGCTCAACTTTATCTCTGCCACTTCCTACTTGTACAACTTCTCATAGCTCCACTCAGTTGTTGTGAGTTCCACACGTCAGACCCCTCACACGGCCTCATGACGACTGGGGCACGTTGTAGGTGACAGCCTGTGCACGCCCTCCAGGGTGGGGTCTTCTTTGTGGGGTGAATGAGGCGGCCATGCGCCCACTCTGGGAACCGAGTTCGCAGTGTTGAAAAGCCCTTCTTTTCCAGAAAGAGAAGTGTTCACGGTTAAGCCACTGAGTGACAAACAACTTCCATGCAGTTTCTGTCCGTGTCCAGAGCTCGGTGCAGCCAGAGGACACGTGGGAACTCCTGGTGCAGGCACAGGCGGTTAAGTGGAAATCACGCCAACCATCACCCACGAACCGCTGTGCTGAGCTGTCAGCTGAGGTCAAGGTGTGTGCGGAGCGTCTGGACTCGGTCTCGGACACTCAGTCTCTCTCACGTCCCGTAAGCTGCATAACCACCAGAGGAAGTGGGGGGGAGTATCCTCACCTTAAAGGTAAGGAGAAGGAGATTCAGAGAGCCTATCAAAGGCGCTTTTCTATCGATCCTTCCAGTATATCTCTCCTTTGCTCCCAATGAGGAAAAATTCAGAATAAGCCAACGGTTCTTCCTCTTGGCTGTTTCTCATGATCTGCATTCAACACAGATCGGTGGGCTCGGCTCCAGCCACTGAGTCAGAGTCCCTGGGGTGGCTCCCGGCGTGTCCGATTTCAGAGGCCTCCCAGGCAAGGCCGGAAAGGAGTTAGGAATCTTTGCTGTGGGGAGCCCGGTGGCCCGGTCTCCTGACTGTGGCTCAGGTCACGATCTCAGTGAGTTGGGGCCTGGTGTGAAGCTGTGTGCGGACAGCCAGCTGGCTTGGGATTCTCTCCCTCCTGCTCTCTCTGCCCCTCCCCCCACATGTGCGTTCTCGCTCTAAAAATTAAGCTTAAAAAAAGAAAACAACCTTTGTTGCAAAGAGGATGGAGAACGTGTAACCAGGGAGGGGACCATCACACCTCCAGGGCTGAAAAGCAGGAACAGTCGCATCCTATGGGGAGATCAGCAGAGCCCAGGGGTGAATTCGGAACCGGTGGGCTGGATTCTGGCCTGGAGGTTGGGGTGGGTGAGGGGGTGGGCGAAAGGGAGGGCGAGGGGGTGGCTGAAGGGGTGGCTGAGGGGGTGGCTGAGGGGGTGGCTGAGAGGGAGGACGAGGGGGTGGGTGAGGGGGTAGGCGAGGGGGTGGCTGAGGGGGAGGGCGAGGGGGAGGGGGTGGGCGAGAGGGGGAGGGGGTGGCTGAAAGGGTGGCTGAGAGGGAGGGCGAAGGGGTGGGCGAGGGGGTGGCTGAGGGGGTGGCTGAGAGGGAGGGTCAGGGCAGACGGAGGAGGAGGGCTGGGGTGCACCGAGGCTAACAAGGTTCTGGGCCGATGTGCGCCCGGCTTGTTAAGAGAAGCAGGCGGCGCGGTGGCTAGAACCCACTGGTTGCGGGACAGGATTGAGCCGAATCAGTCCGGCTGACCTTGGCCACAGCATCCAGGAGGGACCCGGGCGGTAGGGAGTTTGGGGGGCGCCCGTCACGCCCTGGGTCTTTCTCCAGGACAAGGAGACACAGCAGTGTGCGGGCTGGAGGCGAGGACGGGCGTGGGGGAGGACGCAGGCCACCGCGCGTCACACTCGTGCCGGGGCGTCAGGCCCCCGGTGAGGGGGGGTCCGTGGCGGCCGTGCCGCCCCCCCCCCCAGCCCGCCGGGTCTTCCGGCCTGTGCTTCCGCGCAGCCGCAGGGCAGGCGGAGGGTCCCTGCGTGTCCCCACCCGGACTCGGCGCCATGTCCGCCCCCACCGCCTCGGCTTCTGGCGGCTCGACGCTGCTGAGTGCA